CTCCCCCTCGCTCCTCTGCTCCCCCTCCCGCGACCGAATGGAGCCCGTCGCCGCCGACCAGCGCTCGCGCGGCCACAACCACCGTCTCGCCTCCCCGACGCCTCCCAAAGCTTCGATGTTCCGCCCCCGTCCTCCTCGTCGTCTCACGCGACCAGAAGGGCCCCGAGCAGCCGCCATCGCCATCGTCTTCAAGCTTCGGCCCCGGCGCCCTTCTCCGTCGATTCGGCCACTCCGGCGCGCCCCCGAGCCCACTGACCCTCCCTGCAGCTTCGCGGTGAGCCGCTGACCCGTTTCCCTCTTCTTCCCATGCCGTTTGGCCGCTCTAGCCATTGCTTCCGCCGGATCCGAGAGCTCGCCGCCGCCGTGCCTCGTCACCGTCGTGGCCAGAGCCACCGTGGCTCAAAGCCGGGCACACCACCGTGCTCCAAACCTCACCAGGAGCACGTAGAACCCACTAGCTTCCCCTCCCGAGCACCACAACGCCAAACCCGCAGGTGCCCGAACTTCGGCCACCGCCTTGGAGCTCGCCGCCGTCGACTCAGGCCACCCCAGCTCCTCCCGTTCGCTCCATTAGATGCGCTGCTTTGCCAGCTAGCCGTAGCCGCAAACCACGAGTAAAACGGCGCCCTGTAGCGCAAACCCGACGCGGACGCCGCCGCGATCTGAGCTTGCCGGCAGTTAAACGCCGGCAGCTGACGTGGCGCTGATTTAGTTAGCACTAATGACCACGCTAAACACCCCCACAGCCACTGACAGTGGGCCCCACCCCTGGTCAAACCCCAGTCAGCGCTGGGTTTGACCGGGATTAGCTCCTGTGTCACTGACGTGTGGCCCCCACACGTCAGGTTTGACCCGAGCCAGCCCAGTTGACCCTGCTGACGTCACTGTGACGTGGTGCTGACGCCATAATCATTTCTGGATTTAATATTATTCAGGAAATTCCAGAAAATAGCTAAAACTTCTAAAAAACATAGAAAATTAACCGTAACTCCAAATTAAATAATTTATATATGAAAAATTATCAGAAAAATTCAAGGAATCCATCTGTACCATTTTCATGCATGTTAGAACAACTTATAGCTGCTGTTTAGCACAAATCAATTAAATGGCATTTAAATAATCATATATGGAGTTTGAAATTGAATCTCGTATTCAAACCAACTTCATTTAATCTGTTGCTAGTTGCATTAGCCCAAAACACATTCATTTTGCCATGTCATGATCATGCATCATATTGTGCATTGCATTGATTGTGTTCCTTTCTGTGTTGCCGGTATTTGTCCCCTCTCGATAGACACGATACCGATGATGTGATCGTTGACACTGATGAAGACTCAATGTTATCTTCAGAAGTGCCAGGCAAGCAAAACCCCCTTGTTCATTCCGATACAATCCCACTCTCTCGCTCCTGCTCTCTTTTACTGCATTAGGACAACAACGATTCATCTGTTACCTGCTGCGGTAGCTGAACCCCTTTATCCTTTGCATGACCTGTCATTGCCACAGTAAATAGATGAAACCCACTAGCATGAGTAGGAGTTGTTTGAGCCCTGTTGTGCCTACTCATTCATGCTTGTTTGTCATGCCTGCTACTGCTTAGAGTCGAGTCGGGTCTGATTCATCGGGGATGAATCAGAGGCGTGTGAACCTGTCCTACTGTGTGTGAGCTAAGTGTGTGAATACGATTTGGTAAAGGTAGCGGTGAGAGGCCATGTAGGAGTACATGGTGGGTTGTCTCATTGCAGCCGTCCTCAGGAACTGAGTTCTGTGTTTGTGATCCATGATTCAGCTACTACCACGCATTGGGCCCGAAACCAATGGACCCTCTCGGCTTCTTGATCACCCTTGTCCTCTGTCCAGGAGTTGCAAGTAGTTTCTGGTGTTTGTAGTATGCTGGAGGCCGTGCGTAGCGCTGACCGTAGGGGTGGGCTGTGATGCGGTAGGCACGTGGCCGGGTAAACCGGGCGCCCGTTTGGTGTCACGGAACCCTGTACACATCGTTTGGGGCTGTGAGCGAAACTCCGGCCGGATCTCCTCATGGATGGAACCCGAATAGGCGATAAACCTGGACTAGAGACTCGAGTGTTTAGGTAGGCCGTGGCCGACACCCACGTTGGGCTTCCGCTTGAAGGTTGCCGAGTACATGTCGTGTAAACGGCGGTAAGTGGTGAGAGCGTGTGTGAAGAAGTACACCCCTGCAGGGTTAATATGATCTATTCGAATAGCCGTGTCCACGGAAAAGGACTTCTGGGTTGCTTATATCAGTTCATAGACAAGTGAAAGTGGATACCCTAAAATACGCAAGATAAGCGTGAGTGCTATGGATGGCGTTCTCGTAGGGAGACGGGAGCGGTTCCATAGTGGTGTATTGATATGGTGAATATGTGGACTCGTGTGCGCCACCTCAAAAGAGTTACATTGCAGTCGTAGTTTAGGATAGCCACCGAGTCAAAGCTGGCTCGCTGCAGTTAAACCCCACCATCCCCTTTGTTGATAATGATGCATATGTAGTTAGTTCTGATGTAAGTCTTGCTGGGTACATTTGTACTCACGTTTGCCTATTTTATGTTTTTGCAGAGAGACTTCGGTCTCACTAGTAGTTCCGCGTGGACTTCGACGTTTAGCTTGTTACCTCAGCTACGATCTTGTGCCCTCGGCAGGATCTGGTAGATAGTCAGACTTCTCAGCCTTTTTCATTTATAGATGTCTGTACCCAGACATGATAGCTTCCGCTTGTGCTTTGACTTGTATGCTCTGAGTGTTGGGTCATGAGACCCATGTTGTAATATCTCGCTCCTCGGAGCCTATTGATTAAATACTTGAGTCGTAGAGTCATGTTGTGATGCCATGTTGTATTTGCACATATCGAGCATATTGTGTGTATGTTATTGAAATGCTTGGTATGTGTGGGATCTGACCATCTAGTTGTTTATCTTTAGTAGCCTCTCTTACCGGGAAATGTCTCCTAGTGTTTCCATTGAGCCTTGGTAGCTTGCTACTGCTCCGGAACACTTAGGCTGGCCGGCATGTGTCCTTCTTCGTTCCTGTGTCCGTCCCTTCGGGGAAATGTCACGCGATGAATACCGGAGTCCTGTTAGCCCGCTACAGCCCGGTTCACCGGAGTCCTGCTAGCCCAGTGCTACAGCCTGGATTCACTCGCTGATGACCGACACGTTCGATGCTGGGTCATGGATGCTTGTCCCTGTAAGTCTGTGCCACTTTGGGTTTACGACTAGCCATGTCAGCCCGGGCTCCTTATCATATGGATGCTAGCGACACTGTCATATACGTGTGCCAAAAGGCGCAAACGGTCCCGGGCAAAAGTAAGGCGACACCCGTGGGAATACCGTGCGTGAGGCCGCAAAGTGATATGAGGTGTTACATGCTAGGTCGATGTGGCATTGAGTCGGGGTCCTGACAGTTAGTATTTACTCCCTCTGTAAACTAATATAAGTAGTGATCTAAACGCTCTTATAGTAGTTTACGGAGGGAGTACTACATGCTTTAGTGTCGGGCTGCTGAGATAACTTGTAGGATGTCATGCCAACATGGTCAGGGTACTACCTGTTTACTGTGTGCCTGTGGCACTATACAGAGGATACTCTGCATAACTTCTACTCCCTCTGTACCTAAATATAAGTCTTTTTAGATATTTCAATATGAACTACTCCCTCCGTCCCATAATATAAGAGCGTTTTTGACACTAAGGTAGTGTTAAAAACGCTCTTATATTATGAGACGGAGGGAGTACATTTTGCTTCGTATGTAGTCCATATTGGAATCTCTAAATAGACTCAGATTTATATACATGAATGAGATGCATCTGGAATCAGTGGCGGAGACCCAAGAGAACACCCAGTACGTGTGTGCAAAATATTTCTTCCTCTGCGCCGAGCCATCTGCCGAAACCCTCCTAATTCTCAGATAAAAAAAAACCCTATATGAAAAACTTATGACTTCCTTTACATATCAATTTGGGCAGCCAAATTTGTCCTTTGTTCGCTGTAGTTTCCTAGATTTACCGGCCTGGCTATGAACATTTACTGCACTACCGGGCAGTGGATGTTTTCAGTTATGTGTTTCTGGGAGAAGTTTCGTCCTGGTAGAGCTACCTTGACTAAGAGTAGTTGTGTTTTGCCCCTGGTTATGATTGCCTGCCTGCCGTTCCCATGGAATCCATGTGCTTAATGGGCTCCTGCAGTTTGTCTACGCATACTTTTTTTTTTGGTTCCTTTGTCTCTATCTCCTCGTATTCGTTTTACGTAAGCGACTTAAGTATTTACATGATTTACTTTGGAGCTACTGAGATAAATTTGTAGGATATCCCCGTATGTCCACTTTGTAGCTTGGGACTTCTTTCAGAAGTTAGTCTTGATATTGCTGTTCTGCAGGTTTATCGCCATTTAGTCAGATTGTGACAATTGTTTCTTTATGCAGATCTGGCCACGGTTCTGGAATTTTCACCAGTGAGAGAGGGCCCACTCTGCTTGCTTTGACTAGGAGTATGAACTATCACTGACTTGGTGAGAGTATTTTTGTGGTCAGAGAAAAGCTCCATAAGCAGCCCTCTGGTCGTCTGGTTGAATCCCTTCTAATGGAGAGGGTTAGGACCATTCTGACTCATGGATACCCATACCCACATGAGCATTCGAGACATTTCATGATTAGGAAGACTATCAAGCCACACTATTCACACTTTAGTCGCTGGTAAGCAATCTCGGGAGTCTTTGAAAAGATAATTGGAAGCAAAACAAGATGTATAAGTTCCCTGATGTTGTTTCTGAATACAGGTACGTTGCTTGGATATTCTTGGCAGCATTATGGCATCTCCCTAGTTTTCAGTCAATGGGGTTGGATTTGAGGATGAATCTTTCCCTCTTCCTCGCTGTTTATATTTCCTCTCTAATCATCTTCCACGTCACATTTCTTGGACTCTGGTATTTGGATCTTGTTTCTCGCATGGCAGAGAAAAAGCCAGAGATGCTTACTATAATCAAAAATTGCGCAGTAAGTTTTTTGGCATACAATGATTCAGGTGTTCCGTTCATGTTCTCTTAGATACTTGTGATTTTTCTAAGATTTGCATTTTCTGTCACATCACAGGTGGTAAGTATAGCTTGCTGCGTGTTCTACAACCACTGTGGTAACAGGACCCTTTCAAGGGACAAATCTATTGATCATAGAACTGCATTTTCACTGTGGATAAAGCAAAATGAGTACAATACACTGATTTCAAAGCTATGGCGTATGCATAAGTTTAAAGATCATATTTGCTCGCCCTGGTTTGCTCCGGTTGGCTTTGCCAGTGATTATCCACTTCTATCGAAATGGGCCATTTATGGAGAAGTTAGTATACTTCACCTTCTGTTCATGCTTGGATATCTCTTTGGTTTATTTACTGCTTTATTGTTATCTTGTATGTTTGCTCCAGTTAGCTTCCAATGGATCCGAACGCTCCAACATCATTTCACCTGTCTACTCTTTGTGGGATACATTCATTGGTCTTTACATGGCCAATTATGTCGTGGAGCGGTCAACTGGGTATGCCTACTGTCTGCACACATCCATCTGGTAGAATTTCTTTTTGATGTATTATAAACAAGTCAACAAGCCTGCCCCAACTTGTTTGGGACTAACGGCTTTGTCGTCGTTGTTGTTGTATTATATAAACAAGTCAACAGATAAGTTTGCATTCTGTCATCTTCAGAGGGAACTTATGGTGATGAAAAGGAAATGCAATATGTTCGTCATGGTTTCATCTACGTAGAACTATAATATGGTATTCAACGTCCATAGCCCCTTAACAAAATGCCAATGGTTGTTGGCGAGCCATGGTACTGAAGAGTTTATTACCTATATGTCACATGAATATGCTTTAGTGAATAACATGGTGTGACTGGGTAAGATATCCTGAGCTCATTATTACTTATTAGGGTACTGAAGAGTTGGACATGATGATGACCACTTTATTTGTCTTTTTCACATGTTTGTCTAGCAGATAAGAAAATAGGGTACTGAAGAGTTGAACATGGTGTGCATACTTTGATCATTTACATCACTTGAAGTTTTCAGTTCATGTTTGCTGATTAATGACTATAAATGTTTTGCTTGTCATATGCTAGTTTATCACGAGTTGCATTCCATACATGGATGATGCCACATATTAATTATCTTTGCCAGCTTGTTATATTGGATTTTGATTTTTTTTCTGCCCTTTTGAGTATGCTCTCCAGCCTCCTGCTTGGTATACGCCTGAACACGTAACATTGGAAAAACCTGAACTTCCTCTTGGAGTTTCTGAGCTCAGGCAGTGTAGCTGACCACAATGTTTTATGATTCCTGGAAACCACGGTAAATATTACCTACCTATGATCTGCACTGTACTTTATGTATTATGACATTCATATACATGTCTTCTTCCTTGCCCATCAGTGTTACAATTTTTTCTTGGCATCGGAGAAGTTAAACTATATATTTTTTAATACAGTATTGTGACGAGAGCTATGTAAATAAGGATGACAAAAGCTGCTCCACAACATGGGCTTAGCCCCAGCCTCTGTACGTATGTGCCTCCAGTCACACTGGTTGAGCATGAGCCGGGTAAGGACGTGCTTCGTGTAGATGCAGATGCGCCTGAGGACTGTGTAGGATACACCGAGTTTTAGCACCACAAAGATATCCTCCAAGTGAGCCAAGTCACGGATATGCTTGTCCATTTTTTCTTTGGTTAAATAGCATCCCGTAAAAAATAGCATCCCGTAATACCTTCCATGCCCATTCAACCAAGCTTTCTCCACCTCCAGTGCCCTTGGCAACCACGCCGATTGTCAGCTCTAGCAGAACGACACCAAAACTGTAGATGTTAGTCTTCTCGCTCGCCCTTCCATTGTACTGAAAGTATTCTGCAAAATTCGTATTTAGTTAGCATTTGATGAAAATGTTTGAGATTCCTTGATGGATTTGAGACCCATCAGGGGGTCATGTACCCGTGTGTAACACAAATGGTTGACATGTTGTGGGACTGGCCTGGGTTGATAATCATTCGAGTAAGGCCAAAGTCGGCGATCTTAGCATGGAACTCTGGGTCAAGCAAAATGTTGCCTGACTTGATGTCCCGATGGATAATAGCATCTCCCCACTCTTGGTGGATGTAGTTGAGGCTTGGCCATCAATAGCGATGGTCAGCCTCCTCAGCTAGTACAATGGTGTAGGGGCGCCCTCGCGGTAACGGTGGTGCAACCAGTCGTCAAGGCTGCCCTTCTCCAAGTGCTTATAAACAAGCAGCTTGGCATCTTAGCTGGAGATTTTGCAGAGCAGCTTAGTGATGTTCTTGTGATTGAGCCCAATGTCTTCACCTTCGAGCTGAGTTGTTTGTGGTCCGGATTTCCCGTGTTGCATATCTTCTTGACAACCACTATTTTGCTGTTGCGGTCCTTAGTGCCACCATCAAGGCTAGGAGGTGGACACGGTACACCTTTCCAGACCGTCGTTGATGATAAAATTATCCTCAGATATGTTGTTGACCACGTCGGATTTCATGAAGTCCAAAGGTGTGAATGGTGTCCTTTTCCAATCAGTCACGACTTCTTTCACCACTTGTGTGTTCTTCCGGCGCCGGAAGTGCAGCCATATGATGATGCTCATAGAAGTGATGATGACCGTGACATTAAGCACTAACAAGATTATCACACACTTCTGGAGGTGGGTGCCTCTGTGGCATTTTGGCGGATTTATCCTCGAGTCCCGCTTGTGACAAAGCCCACGATTTTCATGGAAGTTGTGGTTGTACTTTGCACTTTGCAGAGAGAGGGACACGTCCCCATTGAGCTGGTTAAATGACAAATTGAGGGACACGATTGAATGGTTGCCAAAGTCAGGCAGAATTTTGCCTGTTAGCTCGTTGTTGGACAAATCAAGGACTACCAGTGATGAAATTGTCTCAATGCTCCATGACGGTATTGCACCTGATATATGATTGTTGCTAAGGTCAAGTGATTTGAGATTTTGCAACAATTTAATTGATGTTGGTATGGATCCAGGTATCTTGTTCCCACTTAGTGAAAATTCAGAAAGCTTGTGGAGATTGCTCATGTTGACAGATAGCTCTCCTGAGAGTTAGCTATTATGCACCATCAACACCAATAACCTAGTTCCAAACGTCGGGATCGAGTCGGAGAAGTGGTTGTTTTGCATCTCAATTCGAGAGATATTCGAAGATATGTTTTGTCATAGTGCTAGTGAAGTTGTGCGATATTAGCACTGTATGCACCAATAGCAACCACCATATATTCATCGGAAACTTCCCTGAGAAGTTGTTACCGAGCATAATATTATCCAGTGAGAGGTAGTTGCCAATGCTTGCCGGAGAAACCGTTGTTAGAATCTACTATGTCGAATAGTTTCCCATGAGCGCAAAACTCCTCCAGTAGTGAGCTACACAAGTTTTTGTTGTAGACCTCAATATTTCCAAGCGGCGAGTCCTTCCCAAGTTCTTGTAGCACCTCACCCCGAGAGCATATTGTCGAAAAACTAGATGTATTGGAGGTTGGGAATGAGGTCAGTGCTTCTAGGGATGGGGCCTATGAACTCATTGTTGTATAGGATGATAATGGTTAGTTTCTTGAGAGTCCCAAAGTCTTCTGGTATGCAGCCAGTGAGTTTGTTTGCCGACAAGTCTATCTTAATCAAATTCACCGTAGTGATGTTGCACGACAGCTCCTCGGTGAGTCCATTGTCATACAAGTACAAGATCTCGAGCTTTTGGTGCTGCCAGATCCAGACATGGATTGAACCACTAAGCTTGTTGCCCCATGGGTCCAACATGGTTAGTTCCTTTAGGCTTGAGAATGCCTCTAGAATCTCGTCGGTGAAGGTCATTCGTGTTGAGAATTAGGTTCTGGAGTGCCGAAAGCTCGGCCATCAGCATTGGCAGAACTGCAATAAAGTTGTTGTTAGTTAGGTTGAGGTGCTTCATAGATGGTGATAACCGGCTGATTTCTTGAGGAGGGAATCCATGGAAGCCATTGTAGGAGAGATCGATCAAGGTATCGAAGCCAGGACCGGGTGTAGAGCGTGATGCCGGGGAATCTCCCAGTGAACTTGTTGTATGAAAAGTCAAGGTGGATCGGGTACTTGAGGTTGCACATAGATGGAGGGATGTTGCCGGTAAGATTCAAAGGCTTGAATGAAAGCCCCATAAATAGGCCTCCACCGCTTTCCACACAGCTGACTGGGCTGGTGTCAGCTGCGTGGCAGTAGGTGGAGGCCTAGTTACGGGGCTTTCCTTCAAGCATTAGAATTTTATCAGGAACATCCCTCCATCTATGTGCAACCTCAAGTACCTGATCCACCTCGACGTTTCATACAGCAGGCTCACTGGGAGATTCCCTGGCATTACGTTCTACGCCTACTCCTAGCTACGGTACCATGATATCTACTACAACGGCTTCCATTGAGTGCTTACTCAAGATATCAGCCGGCTATCACCATCTATGAAGCATCTCTACCTGACTAACAACAACTTTTGTGGTGTTTTGCCGACGGCGATGGCCAAGCATTAGGCACTTCAGAACCTACTTCTTGACACGAATGGCTTAACCGGCGAGATTCCAGAGGCATTCTCAAGCCTAAAGGAACTAACCATTTTGTACATGTTGCGCAGCAAGTCAGTGGTTCGATCCTTGTTTGGATCTGGCAGCACCAAAAGCTCGAGATCTTATACTTTTATGATAGTGGACTCAACAGGAAGTTGTCGTGCAGCATCATTGTGGTGAATTTGATTAAAATAGACTTGTGAGCAAACAAACTCACTGGTTGCATACCATAAGACTTTGGGACTCTCAATAGACTAACCATTATCATCCTATACAACAACGAGTTCCTAGGCCCCATCCTCGGAAGCATTGGCCTCATTCCCAAACTCCAATACATCCAGTTGTTTGACAATATGATCTCGAGTGAGGTACCACAACAACTTGGGAAGCACTCGTCGCTCAGAAATTTTGAGGACCGCAACAACTTTTCTAGCTCACTACCGGAGCAGGTTATGCGCCCATGAGAAACTATTCAACATTGTAGTTTCTAACAACATCTTCTCCAGTGAGCTCCTGAAGCATTGGCAACTGCCTATTGCTGGATAACATTATGCTTGACAACAACGACTTCTCTGGGAAGTTTCTGGTGAATATATGGTGGTTGCCATTGGTACATACATTGCTAATATCTGACAAAACTTCGCTAGCACTGTGCCAAAAGATATATCTTCGAATATCTCTCGAAGTGAGATGCAGAACAACCACTTGTCCGACTCGATCCCGACATATCAGACTGGGCTATTGGTGTTGATGGTGTAGAATAACCAACTCTCGGGAGAGCTACCTGTCAACAGAAGCAATCTCCACATGCTTTCTGAATTGTCACTAAGTGCGAACAAGATATCTGGATCCATACCAACATCAATTGAATTGTTGCAGAATCTCAAATCACTTGACCTCAGCAACAATCGTATATCAGGTGCAATACCGGCATAGAGCAGTGAGATTATTTCATCACTGGTAATCCTTGATTTGTCCAACAACGAGATAACATGCAATATTCCGCCTGACTTTGGCAACCATTCAATTGCATCCCTCAGTTTGTCATTTATGACCAACTCAATGGGAAGATGCCCCTCTCTCTACAAAGTACAATTGTGGCTTCCTTCGAAACCGTGGGCTTTGTGCTAAGTGGGGATCGAGGATAAATCTCCCAAAATGCCATGGAGGCACCCACCTCTAGAAGCATATGATAATCTTGTTAGTGCTCGGTGTCACTGTCATCACTTGCATGAGCATCATCATACGGTTGCTCTTCCAGCATCAGAAGAACACACAAGTGCTGAAAGAAGTTGTGACTGATTAGAAAATGACACCATTCACACCTTTGGACTTCACGGAATCCGGCGTGCTCAACAACATATTTGAGGAGAACATTATCAGCAGTGGAGGGTCTGGGAAGGTGCACCGTGTCCACCACCCTAGCCTTCACGGTCTCATTGAGGATCGCAGCAGCAGAATAATGGTTGTTAAGAAGGTATGCAACATGAGAAATCTACACCACAAGCAGTCTGACTCGGAGGTGAAGACATTGGGGAGCATCAATCACAAGAACATGATAAAGTTGCTTTGCAGCATCTCCAGCTAAGATGCCAAGCTGCTTGTTTACGAACACATGAAGAAGGGCAGCCTCGACGACTGGCTGCACCATCATGACCGCAAGGGCGCCCCTGCACCATTGGACTGGCTGACAAAGCTGACCATTGCTATTGATGCATCCAGAGGCCTCAACTACATCCACAAAGAGTGCAGACAGGCTATTTTCCATCGGGACATCAAGTCAGGCAACATTTTGTTTGACCCAGAGTTCCATGCCAAGATCGCCGACTTTAGGCTTGCCCGAATGGTTGTCAACCCACGCCAGTCCCACCACAGGTCAGCCATTTTTGGGACACACGGGTACATGGCCCCTGATGAGAATCTCAAATCCAGCAAGGCATCTCAAACGTTTCTGTTGAGATCTAACTGAATGCAAATTTTGCAAAATACTATTAGTACAATGGAGGGGCAAGCTCTAGAGGGCCGATATCTATAGTTTTGGTGTGGTTCTGCTAGAGCTAACAACCGACATGGTTGCTGAGGGCGTTGGAGGAGGAGAAAGCCTGGCTGAATGAGCATTGAAGGTATTACAGGATCCCTCTTTAACGAAAGACAAAATCATCAAACATATCCGTGACTCGGTCCATTGAGAGGATATTTTTATGGTGTTGAAACTCGTGTTCCCTACACGAGTCCTTAAGCATGTCTATGGCCAAGCATGAAGCGCGTCCTTACCCAGTTCATGCTCATCCAATGCGACCGGAGGCATGTATGTACAGAGGCTGGGGCTGAGACCATGTTGCGGAGGAGCGTGTCCGAGAGGGGCACCAACAGCAGTCGGTATGGCCGCCGGCGCGACTCTGTAGCGCATACATGGATGAGTTATTAAGGTACGGTCCCTTTATATCACTCGACCCAATTTTCTCGTTGTAGGCAGTCGAGTTTACCAGTTAGCTGTCTAGCCAGACTTATTTATTGCATTTGTAGTTAACATTTGATTGTTTTCTTATTGTAACCAGAACAGGTGGATCATGTTGCCGCTGGTGATCACTTGGCTCCTTGTCTGTCTAACCAGGAGATGGTATGGCTCGCGTCGCTGCGCCAGCTACAGTTGCGTTCGGCATTCACGTGACCATGTCCTAGATGAGTTTGGGCTTGTAGAATGCACATCAATAATTGTGTTTGCTTTTCTTTTTCTGATAATAGTGTAGTGGAGTGGGGCAGTGACGCAGTGGAGGAGTTCATTTCTTCAGTCCAAGATGTTGTAGCTAGCTTGTGACTTGACGCCTTTGCCAAATGATTGCCTAGCGATAGCAAATTAAACAATGTCGCAACGATACTAAGGTACTTCAAAAAAATCCAGTCTCCTTATCAAACGAATATACTAGCATGTCTGGATGAGGTTTAGATGTGATCTCATATGGGCTGCTTTCCTAATTATTCACTACCTAAAAGTACTAGTGGATGATCCGAAAAATACTTCTATTTGCAAAGACATCTTATATTAAGGGACAGAGGTAGTAACTAATTGTTTTTAATAAGACCAATCCTCTATATACCCAATGCCAACTCATATCATCATGCATGGAAAATGACACATCCTTAATGCACCTTCTATTTGAAATATGCCACCAAGACAAGCTCTTGGTTGGTTTCATCTCATGTTTAATGCACCTTCTATAGAAGCAAATCATAACACCAGGTCATTTGGTTTGAGCGATCACAGGACCGCAAGCATCTTGTTTTTTGTAGCAATGTCAGTTCATTTTGTTACACGTGTAACCAATGGATTGATAAGATATAAAAAAACTACTCCCTTCGACCCATGATATGAGAGCGTTTTACACTAGCGTGGTGTAAGAAAGCACTTATATTATAGTACGCAGGGAGTACTTACTTATTTAATAACCCGTCGATGTCTCGCCCGTCATGCTTTCAACTCATCGTGTCTTAGCTGATGATTAGTTAGTGGGCTGATTACTGCCTAGCCTAGTGTGTATTGGGACCCTAGCTTTCACCCTTTTGTACTCCAATTTATCGACCAATTATTTTCTGCCTAACTAACAAAACAGCAAACATTTTCATCTCATTGAAGAAAAAAACTAAACAAATCTTCTCGGCTATGACCGAATCAACCCCAACTCGATTACTTGTTTTATGTGTCTTTGCTTGTGTAGCATCGACCATGACCGAATCAACCCCAGCTCGATTACTTGTTGAATAGAAAGATAGGTAAAACAGTAGGAGATGACGTGTTGCTGATCACGCCCCAAGTGAAGACCGACTGAATGTATAGGACCAATTTGATGATGCAACCACTAGCAGCAAAAATTAACATTCAAGTAGTATAATTTTATATTGTATTTACTTGATATTATTGATATTCATGTTTTTCTCTATAAATTTGGTCAAACTTTATTAATTTTGACTTCAACAAAGATCCATACACGTTGTTTTTTTAACATAGGGAGTATCAATTATACGATAACTCTTGTTTCCTCATAATAATTACTTGATTAACTACTTCACCTACAAAATAAGATTTCCGTTTCAAAAAACAAAAGATTTGAACGTATAAATGAATGTAGATATATACCAATAAAATTTCCTCCGTCACTAAGTCAAGGCGGTTGATTACGTATGTGGTATTATTAAAATGGAAAGGCATAGACGTGCAAATGTTGCTAATCTGAAAATTCCTACCACTTCATGACCAAGCAATATTACAGCTGCACCGTCGCTTGTTTCTTCATAAATTCGGCAAATTTATTATTAGTGTCCACCCACCATTACACTGCATAATTGATATATGATGACAACATGTAAGTGCTATAAAATAAACCTATAGTAGACTTGACTATAAAGTCTATTGTATGAGGTAGTATTTGTCTCACCATGATTTCCATCTTTACGTGACTTCATTTTGGGATAAGACACACCCATGCACACAATTGTAAGAGAAATTTGAATTGCGTCAATGGTGAAAGTTCATACTGGTGGTCTAGGATTGGGATGCATCTAGAACAGGAATTCAAGCATCTGTTGTCCAGGACGTACGACTTATGCATGTGTTTGATGTGAAATATAGAGTTGTTCATCTATGCTGCCATAGCGGGCCCTCACTTATCCATTTACATTAGTTGTTTCATGACACTCGTGATGTGTGCTATGAGAAGAGCCAGGATCCATCGCTCTTTCATGCCTCTAAGGCCACAGGAGACGAGGTAGATTGATAGCGGTGCATGCAGGAGGCAGGAAACCCTAAACACCTAGCGGCCGCTTGCCCGGAGGACGCAGACCCTCCATTTTGCAATAATTGTAGCCTAACCTCATGGCGTGTGCCTGTTTTACTACTAGTCCTCTCACATTTAAAACCTAGTGGACTCATGTGCCTGTTTGGTTTGGAACCAAGCGCAATTTCACAAATCACTGGTACTATCCTTGCACTTGTTGCAAGCTCTGTGTCTAATTTTTTTTTTGACAAATCAAAATAAAAAACGAGACCAACTCGGGCTAGATAGTCTGTTGACATTTTTTTATAGAAGAAAACTCCATAAACACCAAACACTCTAGCCCAGACTTGAACCCTGATGGGTTGGCTGCTAACTCCCGCGCCTAGCCAACTGAGCTGCGCAGCGGGCACAAAACGAACTATTCTTTCGCTTTTTTTTTCACAAATCACATTGATATACTTGTGTAGGCTTCAGCTAGGCTCGATAGAGTTGCTAAGTCGTACAGAAAATCATTATCCACTCATACAACAAATTAGACCAGTATAGTTCAAATACGCCCGAACTTCTTAGCAAAATCATAAAGAATATAGATCAATATTCATCTAACTAAGCGAGCTTTGTCGAGCTCAGCTAGAAAATAGGCTTCTCTCTCTAAAATAATAAGGGGAGTATTTTGCCATACAACATACTAGTACTACAAAAGAAGGAAAATTCCACGCAAGAAAAGTTACATGAAGGATCTAACCAAACCTGCATGGGCGACGTTCTTAAAAAACTTACATGCATTTTTTCAGGTACTGTTTGCATGTGGGGGCCGGGGCCCACGTGGTGAGCGGCTCGAGTAGAAGAACGTCCACGCGTTGGCATGGGTTCCTTCTAGACGTTGCCACAAAGATGCCTCCATCGGTGGCCACCGGTGCTGGTCATGGACGCGTGGACCGAGCACACGGACGCATGGGCCTCATGGACCGCCAGCTTTCGGCAACGGACGGCGTGGACGCCTGGATACCCATAACTCTGGGCTGTTTGATTTCTGACTAACTTAGTCAAAAATTGTCACAATTAAGATTAGACAAGTTTAACTAATTTAAATAAGTGTTTGATTTAAGCCACATTTTAAGGAAGTCATACTTGGATTCCACATAACAAGGTGTGGCAAGATTCTTTTAGACTTGTCAACATGTGGCTTTTATTTTAATGAACTAATTTTAAGCAAACTTGATAAAAATATAGACAAAATGTGACAATGCTAGTCCTAAAACCAAACGGCAGTCCGTATATAATTCGCATCCGTACAAATATGCCCTTCTGTCTGTATATGTACTACAAGTACGTAGAGTACTACTTTGTCCAAAACGACGCAGATTAGTCCAACATGTTGTAGCTGTAGCTAGCTACTGGCTTCACGCCTTCGCCAAATAGTTGCCTAGCTATATCAAACTAGTATAGCCCGCGCGGCGGCACGCCGCGCCTGATAATGCATTATATTTAACGGATCGTAAAGGCCATTGTTATATTTTTAATGACAAAATTGCATAACTAAAACCCAGAAAGAGTTCTAAAAGGTGGAAAATGAGTACATTTATTGCAGCCATGTATGATAAATACTGATGAACGAAAGTGTACACGCTAATAATAAGGTCTACTTATTGGCACATTATAGAGACCGTTCTATGGAACATACCATATACAATGATACAACTGCATGAAAGTAAATGATTGCGGATGACCTAGTTGAGTTAAATCATCCTAGTGCAGCCCCCTGTAAGATAGTTTGTAATGAAGTAGTCAAGAGCTTTTGCAAATTCCTCTACCTGTCTAACGGGTATCTTAGCTCCTTTGTATGTAATGATGGGATCATCTCTCTGAGGACGTTGGGGTACATGCGAAGAAGTGCCACGTCGAAGAAATCATTGCATATTATCGCCAAGATCATTGTTTGTCTTGCAAATTCATTATGTTGGGTACTTACTTGCTAGCGAGCCATGTTGAATTTTCATGCCTGTGCGGTGGCACGCCGCGCCTATTGATACTTTATGTGAGAAACTCTATGTACAATAATATTAAACTTCATATACCAAATATTTTATTATTTTATTCACTTTTTATGTGTTCACTTCAAATTTTATATTATGGTGTATGTAAAAAATTATATTGGTACAAATGCTATAATCTTTCATAAAGAAAATTTTTATTG